TATTAGCTTGAATAAGATTCATCCTTTTATTTCTTTGTTGAAGGAGGAATGTGAAAACTTGAATTTAGGTTTCTTTTATTTATGCTATTGGAATCTTTTCAAAAAAAAAAGGAAAAAAAAAAAAACTATCATCCACATGTGATAATCAATTGATTGTAAAAAGGTAGACACATGTTTTTTTTTTAAATCAAAAGGAATATTATTAAATAGAGATGGTTGAGTAATTGGATAGTCTTCCACAATGTTATGATTACTAAAGTTAGCCATTGATCTTAATTCAAAAGTTTTCTAAAACTTAATTTATGAATCCTACTCTATTATCACTTAAACGTTTGTGAGAGATGTTAAACCCTAATGAACTTTCCTGATACTAACTAAGAGGGGGGGGGGGGGGGGGGGGGGGGGGGGGGGGTGAAGTGGTGTTTTAAAATTCTTAAAGCAAAAAGAACTTTTTAAACTCTTTTTAAATATTTTAAAATAAGTTATTATATCCCACAATGCATAAGCACAACTAATTTTATAATAACCAAAATTAGAGATTTTTAATATAGAATAAATCACAGATAAATATGTGAAAATTAAATACAGAAAAATAAATAGAAAAGAACACATCAGATTTATAGTGATTCGGTCAACTTGACTTACATCTACGCCCCAATAACCTCCTTTCTGAGTATTGCACTAAACATAGTGGCTCTCCTTTTGCTCCCACAGTAAGGCAGAGAAGCCTTTACAAAATTTTTCCACCGACCTGGTGATGCAGAGCACCTTGAATCCTTTTACTCCCTTTTGGAGTAGGCAGCGAACCAAGAAATCATTTTACTCTCTCATGGAGTTGACAGAGAACCTTGGAATCCTTTTTCCACCCTCTTGGTGAAAAGTAGATAATTTGATCTGATGTTGATGAAGATATCCCTAAGAGTGACCAAGGAACCAGATAAGAAACTTGAAGAAGATGAACACATTTCTTGGAGAATCCTCAATCCTTTACAACTCCCCTCATAAGAGTCTCTCTCTCTCTCTCTCTCAAGCTCTCCCTTTTCCTTCTCTATGCTCTCTCTCTCTCATATCTCTCCATAGTAAAAGAAGCCCTAATTTTCAATTCTTTGCTACTAATCGTCCAGTACGATCGATAGATCGTCTTGAATAATTAGTATAACAGATCTCTTTCAACTAGTATGATCAGTTCAAGTATTTGAAAGGATCGTCCAGGATAATTCTACGATCATTTGGGATGATTAGTTCAACATGCTATATTGATCTTCTAGTACAACATAGGATGATGGGTCACAATATTTATATCATCCTGTAGACCTCTCAGGACATCAAGTACGATCTTCTGGATGATTAAAAGAATATTATGGTTTTTTTCTTAGACGATGGGGGATCGTCCCATGAAATATCAAAGATCGTCCAATACGATTTTTAAAGATCATCTTGTACGATATGATCAAGCAAATTAACCATAATTAGTACCCTAATCACAAGACCAATTTAGGCATGATTGTCTTAAATCATCCAGAATGATTTACATCATCGCGTATGATTAGAAAAAAATTATAATTTTAAAATACTGCCTAAATTGTCATTTGTGACTTTTATTTTTTAATTTGAACTGATCATCTTGTACGATATGGATCATACAGTACAAATAGTTTAATCACTCATAATTATCAAGGATTCCCTAATTAGGGTTTCTATATTTAACTAATCATCTAGTACAATTTGAAATCCACTTGTACGATTAAGTAAAAAATAGAGAAATCTCTAACAAATAGAGAAACTAAATTGTTAAGTACATAGTGAGCAATTGAAGGAGTTATTTGAAAACTAACATAATGCAATCGCTCACTAAATACTCATCATTCCTCATTAAATTCACTTCAGAATGATTAAACTATGTTTAAAGTTTCCAAGGAAAGTTGAAATGCATGTCTTAAAACAAAGATTTATTTATAGTAGAATTTCAATAATATAAGTTAAATAATAACCCTTATTCCTATAAATTTGATAATCATTAAAAAATAACTTAAATAAATGCATGAAAATTATTGGATGCTCCTAATATTCTCTAATTCATCCCATTTAAATTTATGGCTAATTAATCAATTATATAAAGAGTTATTAATGAAAATTTGAAAATAATCAAAGCTAAATAAAGTCCCATATAGTTATCATTTTTATTTGATTATGTTTTTAAAATAAAGTAACTTTATTTCTGAACAGAATAAGATATTATCTGGAAAATTTTGTTAAATGTTTAATTTATTATGAAGTTTTAAATTTTTATGATTAAAAATGGGTTTAAAATAACTTTTACTAATTTAAAACCATTAGCGATCCAAGTTTACTAATTTTAAAAACTAGCTTAAAATAAATTTTGGCTCTGTTGTTATTGCTCTATTTCTATATGGATTTGCGTTGGCTGCTGCTATGCTGTTCTCAGTGGGGATGTTTGGATGGTTCTTCTGGGTTGCTATCCGCAGTATTTGGAATTGTTGGTTTTTTGGGTGGAAGATGGGAAATGATGTTAGGATTGCCATTTTCTCCTTTGGATGGCAGGATATTTTGGATTCTTATTTTTGCAACCAGCTTGAGAGAGCGGCAATTCCTGAGCTCGAGGATTTTTTGTCTTCCTCATCCTGTTTATTTTTCTTCTCATCCTGTTGTTTTTACTTTTGGTTATGTTTTTCTCTTCCTCTAGTTTTTAGTTGTGGGGATTTTGTCTCTTCCCCATTTTTGGATCTTGTAAGCTTTGGCAAGGTCTTTACTTTACTATTTTTTCTTTCTTCATTACATGTAACTAGTTTATATTAATGAAAAGGGCTACGACCATAATTGTTCCAAAAAAAAAACCATTAGCGATGGCGGGGTTCACGTGTCAAGTATTGATTTGCAAATGAAAAACCATGGTAATGGCGGTCCAATCATTTCCATGATTACTTGGAGGCATAATCATTATCGTTGATTACATGGAGGCAGTGCACACCTTTTGAGGGATGCAATTTCCCTAAACCACATCAACGGCCTGCTGCAGCCTTCTTATCCTCAATGTTTTTGAATGGAGGTCTTTGTTGACCTCGATTTTGCCTAGACACAGGCATGGTGAACTGAGTTGACCAAGTCAACCTTTGACCCATTAAGCCCATTAAGAACCTAGTTCAAATCCAAATCAAATCGAATCCGTTTCATGGCTTAATTCCCTTAACCCCTTTGACTGGGTTGACCAGGTCAGCCATTGACTTGGTCAACCCAAGTCCTAAAGAGGTCAAAATTAGCCTTTTTAATTGGAATTAAAGGCTAATTAATGGGATTAATGCCTCCGAGTGTTTTGGAATTCAAACCACGGCCAAAACCGCCCCTTTGCCATCCTAATTCCATCTTTATGCAATCCTAGCCGTCCCCCTTAGGTTTAGGAGTTTAAATAGGGAGAAAATTAGGTTTTGAAGGATCTTTTTGGCAATTGCTCTCTCTCCAGACTTCCACAGACTCTGAAATCTCTTGTGGGAGTTCCTGGAGTTCTCCACGACCTTCCCCCACCGAATCCCGACGAATCCCACTCGCCGACGGCTAGATTCCGGCGACCTAAGGCCAAATCTTTCTAAGGCTTCGATCCACTCGATCCAGGGCTCGTTGGTTCGTGATTTCAACTAGGAAAACTTACGAAGACAGTCTACAAGTGCAACCGTACAAAGATTTCGAAGATCCAACGGTTAGATCCTTTTAAAACCCTTAGAATAGATCAAAAACTTAGATCTAAATAAATATTTGTAGAATGAGTTTCAGATCAAACTAGTACTTCCCCATGATTTCTGTTCAGATATAGGATGTAGGTTTAAAATATCGTCGAATTTCGTCTACCCGATCGAGAGAAATGGAGAAAAAACCCTTTAGGATTTCTGACCGGCTGGGCGAGTAGCTTGGATTTTTTTTTTTTTTACCAAATCAGGTGGAAGACAAATGTTCATTGATCATATTGAGGAGCTCGTAAGTGCAGCTAAGTCTATTAGTTCTGCCCTAGCCTCATCAACTACTTCAAAGAAATGTCTGACAATTGCAGATGCTTTGGAAGAAATTTCTAAAATACCTGAGATATTTGATGATCCAGAGTTATATGAATTTGCTGTTCGGTATATACAAGATCGAAATCAAAGGGAGGCTTTCATGGGACTTCCAACTGATAGAAAAGTTTGGTTTCTACAAAAACAATACCAAAGGAGTTTCACATCTTTACTGTAGAGCATAATTTGTTTATAATTTTTAAAAAAAAATTTAAGTTTTTTTACTACTTTTTTTAGATTGTTCAAACAATTGTGTGTATTTGTTTTTATGTATGGACAACATGCGTGTTTAATCACAACAAGTATTGTAATCAGTGAATATATGTTTATTAAAAGTTAGTTTGGTGAAGATAAATTTGTTACTGTAACTTTGTTGATGATAATACCGCAGTGGCTATAAAGCCAAGGACCTTACTAAAAAAAAGAATAACACAGTTTGTTGTTTTTAATCTTAATTGTCATGAATATTACAGGCAGCTGTAGGCATCGTATTAGAGTTTGAATCTGCAGCTTGATCAATAACAGGGTATTTGCCTGGAACATTTAGCTGGCTGGATTTTTTGAGTAAAATTCATTTTGAGTTAACTGATTCTATTATTGTCATATGTGCTAAACGGATGCCTTTTTGAGTAAAATTCATAGTTGTATTGAGCATTTGCCAGTGCCTGCCATAAAAAAAGAAAAAGAAAAGTAGAGTATACGCTGGCTGGATTTTTTTCCATGTTATTTATGTCATTTTAACGTTAGCTTCGTTGTGCTCTCCGTTGCGATACTATAGCTGATTTTATTGATATGCTACCTTGTTTTATCTAATGATAGAGCCTGAAGTGTCATGGCAATATTATAAACGTTGTAAAGATAAAATCAGTTGGTAATAAGTATGTGGAAGGTTTTGAACAGCTAGTTAGCTTCAACTATGTAGATGCCCTTACATCAGATTTACCTTGTGAGAAGTTATTATTGAGATCTATTTTCTTTCAATTATTTATCCTATCTGTAAATAAAGATGTGAATTTTTTTATTGTCTTTGTGGATACAACGTGAACATTTGTCTTCCAGTTATGAGTATATTTTGCTGCACAACTTATAACTTTTTTTTTTCAGATACACAATGTCGGAGGATAATGAGAGTTTGTCAAGTGACGAGCATAATGATGGAAAATTGCGAAAAATTAAAAAAATGGCAGTTTCACAATTTAGCAATATAATGCTTGCCTCAAGTTTTTTGCAAAATGATTACTTTTCACGTTATTTGAACAAAAGGCCCTGCATGAAAGCAGATAAAAGTGGAGACAGATGGGTTCGGGATTTACTTTGTGGTCATCCTGTTAGGTTTCATAACATATTTAGGATGTCCCAAGTTATATTTACCGACTTGCTTTGCAAACTAGAATCGCTTTATGGATTATGTGGTTCGCATAGAACAACCACTAGAGAAGTTCTTGGAATAACTTTGTTTATTTTGAGTCACAATGAATCCGTAAGAGCTACCGCAGAAAGATTTCAGCATTCTACAGAAACAATAAGCAGATATTTCTCTTTAGGACTTCGAGCATTGATTAATTTAGCAATGGATATTATTGTACCGGAAGATAAGGAATTTCTTGACATCCCTGTACATATTAGAAACGATACTAGGTACATGCCATATTTTAAGGACTGCATTGGGGCAATTGATGGAACTCATGTTGATGCTCGTATTCCTGTTGAAGATCAAATTCCGTATATAGGGCGACATCATTCACCTACACAAAATGTGATGGCAGTCTGTGATTTTAATATGTGTTTTACATTTGTGGCAGCAGGGTGGGAAGATTCAGCTCATGATGCTCGTATCTTTAAACATGTTCTAAGGAGTCCGCAATACAGTTTTCCTGTACCGCCATCAGGTAGTATTTAATTATTAATTAATGATTTTAGTAAGCTTATTTTAAATTTAATGTTAATGAGAAAATAAACATTTTTGTTTACAGGTAAATTTTATTTAGTTGATGCTGGATACCCACTACAACGAGGTTTTCTTAAGCCATATCCAGAGACGCGATATCATATACCAGATTTCCGACGAGGAATTCGAACTACTACAGGCCATCGGGAGGTCTTCAATAGGAGGCATTCCTCGTTAAGAAGTGTAATAGAAAGGGCATTTGGCGTATGGAAAAAGAAATGGAGAATTCTCCGAGATATGCCGAACTATTATTTCAAAAAACAACGGCTTATTGTAGTGGCTACAATGGCACTACATAACTACATAAGAAGGCATCAGTCAAGAAGTGATCCAGAATTCGATGAATGTGATGCTGATGAAAATTTTGTTCATTCCGAGGCACGTGAGTTCCGAGTCGAAGAAGAAGTTGAACCCTTAGGAAATACGAATTGTTCTGTAGAGTTGGTTGATGGCGAAGGTGCAAAGGATATGGCTGAAGTTAGGGAGGCAATTGCAATGCAATTGTACAGTTGTAACAGGTATTACATTAACCTTAAAGTTTATTTATTTATAAATATTATATAAATAAATATTAGTAAAGATAGTATAAATATAAAAGTAAATGATTGATGATGTACTTAAAATATGTTTTTTTTTTTTTATTTCAGGTATCCTGATGAAAATTGAGATTCATCAAATATGAATTGCTCCAAAGTAAAGCATGAGATGACAATAGTTTTGTTTTGTTGTTGGTAGATTTTTTTTTTCATGTACTTTGACTTATTTATTTGACTTTACATGTAATGAATTTAGTGTTTAAATGATACAAGTTGTTAGGTTTAAGGAGTGATTTCTTAAAATTTATATTTTGAAGCAGTAATATATATCATGTCGGTAGGCAGTGCTATGTCTATTATAAATAAAGGATTCAGTATGTGCATAACTTTGTATCCTGTTAATAGAAAGTGGAGAAGAAAAGTTTTATATAAGAACGGGTCAATCTCAATATCTATTACCAATTAAAACTATAGATTAGGATTAATTTTATTTTCTTTTTTATTTTAAAAGCCTAAAATATAATTTGTTTGCAATATATATTTGACTGACTACTCAGAGTGCACTATTTTTTTAACAACTAAAAAATGTGTATATTAATTTTTTAACTAAAACATTTTGTTCCAAATTTTTTTATTCTTTAAATGTGATTGAAGGCTATTTACATAATTAAACACTCTTTGCCTCTGTTTTATCGGATTTTTAAACAAATTATATTTTAGGCTTGAATAATCTAAAAAAAGCCAAACGAAAAAGCATTTTTTTTTTAATTTGCTATTTAATACGTTTTTTCGTTTAAAGAGCATAGTTTTGTAATACCGTGCACACAAAGAGTGTTTAATTATGTGAATAGACAAACGAAAAAGCATATTTTTTTAATTTAAAAATTCAAATTAAATTAGAATCATCTCTGCAGAAGATACGAATATTAGAAAATGAGTAGATGAGCCATATTATACTAGCAAAAAATATGAAATAAATTTGAGTTTAATATATGGATAGTTTCGTCATTTATGATGAAAAAGCTAAAATTATTAATTGTACCAAACACTACTTATCTATTTTAAAGTTTAAATAAGAACATAAAAAGTTATTTAACCAAACAATATTTTGCAATAACTCCATTATATAGAACGTTATTTCTGAAACTCCATTTTCTTCACAACCACTTTAAAACAAACTTTTTCAAGAACATTGACGAACCAAACAAAGCCTTAGTAGATCGAAAGCCGCGGCACCATCCAGAAGAAGGGGAACGATTTTGTTAGTGCTTATTTACAAGCAACAAAAATAATGCTAATTTTTAAATAAATAGAGCAATATATATATATATGTAAATCCCCCTATTTTTTTTTTTAATTTATTTATTATAAGCACCGCATCATTGAATCATCTAATCCTCATCTAATATTGTGTCAACTTTCATTAGCATCAATGCCTAGCTTCACCTTCTATTACAGGAGAAATTATTCCATGCGGATTCCAGACAGTTCTTTACCGTTCGGATGTGAGTGTATACAATATTTGACACATTGTGTATAAAAAAATAAATTATATAAAAAATTATACTCAGCGTACACACTATATACACTCATATCCGAATAATTCTTTACTGTCCGAACTCCACACGGAAAGTGATATTTCTCGTCATAATATTTTTTATGATGTTCAATGCAAAAACTTCATCACATCCTTCAAAGAGCAGCAAAGACCTCATAATCATTATTTTACATTAAGCAAAAGAGAGAGAAGATCACCATGAGCATGTTGAATGATGATTCATTTGTGTATTGCACTAATTGACACACTCTTCTATTACCAAATATTCAAGCATTCTTGAACTCCATGAATTAAATAATATTTAGAAATGTATTCCATAAAGCTAGAAAGTTCTCTTATGGCAGTTAAATATGAAAATTTTAAATCTGTATCTGTCATTGCTCCAATGACAAGAAGCAAAATCAACAAAGCTCTGTTACAAAAGTTGGATCTCGATCACATGTACAATTACAAAGTAACACCCATATTTTATATATTTATAAAACTATCTCTTAATTACCTTTATTTATACGACTACCCAAATCTCAAAGAGTACGACAGATTCCCAATCCATATTACTGTGTTCCATTAACCCATCAACAAGCTAGTATACAGAAATTTGATTGTTTAGGGTTTAGCAAAATAAAACAGTTAGGTTCATTAAATTTAATGAGATTAGGATTATATTAACAGATCTCTGTAAGTAATTGTAATTTATAGGCAAATGATGAGTATTGGGAGTTAATAGATAGTTTATGAGTTATTAAGTGTCATGTTTTTCTATAAATAGTCTGTTTTTGGAGGAATTAGATATGATGAAATGAAATGTTGCAAGCCTCCCTTCAGTTAAGTTTACAGTCTCTTTCTATCCCAACAATGAGTTTGCAACAAATCATAATAATCCAATTTAAAATGGGTCCATCTCTAAATTGTAAGCACAAACAGTTTGCGGAAATTTAACTTAACATTAGAAGTGCATTAAAAGGTTATTACAACATAAACCATACAATGAAGCACATTATAAGGAGCAGGTTCTAGAAAATAAAGTTATCTTCAAACAAAAAAAATGCACTGCGAAGTATAAATTGATCATATAATTTAAAACAAGGTCTAAAGAGTTTACTTCGAGGAAATAGAGAGGAAAATTTGAATCCTACTGTAGAACTCTTACAGTAACAGGAACATTGAAGCATAAGCTTCTGTTTTTCCTGATTTGGAAATTGACTGCTTCAAGACCAGTTGCCACCCGGACAGCTACAGCTTTAACAGTATTTTGAATAGCATTCCTGTTTGATTTGAATTAAATTTATATTTTACAGTATGAAGTGGGAAATGATGAAGATTACACTGTTAAAAGTTATAAGACCTTACCTAGAAATGAATCTGAAGGATTTTGGATCAAAATTACAACCAGATAGAAAGCGCTCTATGTCTTCTCGAACAGCGTTGCTGGGAATACCTTGAATTAGAACCTGGGCAGAAGTCCCATACAAGGATTAAATATTGCATAATGCTGCCTGAGATTTTCAAATAAAAATTGATTCATATAAGATATTCTCAATAGATTCAATTATTTATTCATCACAACATGTCAGTTAACATAAGCCTATTATAGTGCTTCATGCCCTGCATACCAACATTTGTGGGCCTAAGAAACAGGCAAATAAGTACATAGGACATCATAAACACATCCATCGAATTTATTTAATACTTACATTTCTAAAAACAGAAAGAAAATGACAATCAAATTTATCCCATAACCGAAACTTCAAAGATAAAACGTCATTGACAATTTCAAATCAATACTTACAGTTCTGCCGTCATGCGATTCAGTGATATCCCATTGGCCAGAACTTATCTGTTAGGAAACAAACTTTAAATTCACAATCTGCAGATGTCTAAATCGTAGGTCTGATTTAAACTTACAAAAGACTAGCAAAATAACTCCCAAAAATATCACCTTATCTAACTTGTATAAACGACCCTTCCTCGTAGTTTGCCTCAAAGCTGCATCATAGGAAGACTGTGAAGGAAACCGCAACATCCTAAATTATAACAAAAGGAGAAGCTTGAATGCCTCGCATAATATACAAAATAGCAAATAAAGCAAGAAGGATATAATTAAATAATCAATCAAACTAGAAAAGAACAAAGAAAACACTTCTGAAATAAAGATTATTGACTTTCCTATTTGAAATAGACTATCCAAGTACTTAATACTTGAATATTCACATTGCTCTCTAGATGAAAATAGGAGGATTTCTACTCTTTGATTCTTATACTAACACCATTTGCAATTCCTTCAAAATAAATTGGTATTTCCTCTAACAAACTATTTTGAAGAGGCATGGACAAATATAAGCCTGGAACAAGCTTGGTTTAAAAGAAAAAAAACAGACAATTACAAGCAAATAAAAGCAAAAAAAAACATGAAGTTTCAAATGGCAATCATTTAAAACATCATCTGCACCAGAAAAAATATCGGGAAATCTCATTAAGTACTCCAATATTGTCAGGATACATTATGGCACATTCTATTATTCTTTTTTTCTTCTTTATATTGCTTAAGCGTATATGTGGCTCATAGTAAGTATTTGATTCAAACAGTTCAGTAAAATTTGACTAAAAACAAATGGATCATAATTGGCATTATATTTCAAATTCTTGAATAGATCAACAACTGTTTCAGAATGTTCAACAATCTATATATATATATATATATCAAAATAATCCCCCAATTATCCATAGGTGACCGATTTAATCTTAGAGCCACATTTCTCCAATTTAGGCTTCGTTTGGGACAGCTTTTGACCACTCATTTTTTCCTACTTTCAAGAAATTTTTGTACTTAAAAGTCATTTTATAAAGTAGTAAGAAAGTCGTCCCAAACAAAGCCTTAGTTTCTTGACTATACAAAATTGATTCAAAATAATCTCTTAAGGATTAAATTGGAATCAATTATGTATAGTAGAGAACAAAAACTAGAGAAATGTGATACTCTGAAACTAAATTAGCCACACATGAATAGCCGGGAACTATTTTGGAATTTAATCATTATATATATATTCAATTGGGTGCGAATATTCACAAACAACAAGAGATTATCATTGAAGTCATCAACTGTTTTTGTGCATGATGCATAGTTTATTGATGAATAGAACTATATATCAATCATTATGTACTAAGTTTTCTTTTAAATATTATATATGTTCTTGAAATACATACAAATAATATAATCACTGAGCACTCAACATGTGTCCTATCTTTGAGTCACGCCATAGATATTCAAAAGCTTATTGCGTCAACGATCAATGCCGTGTTCCTATCCCATGCGTTAAGAAACTCTTTGATCTTCACACTGGCATGGTCCTCCACTCCGCCAACCCCATCCCCCTACCTTATGATTGTTGTTGAGCATCCACCCAAAGAAGTTGTTCTCCCATAGATACTTGAAATATTATTGCAGTTAATAACTCAAGTGACATGTATTTGAAGATGATACATCAGGCAGTCATTGTTGATCTAATCCAATCACAAGTAAGATTTGGGTAACATGTATAGCATTTAGAGTGTTGGACCAACAGCCACATTGAATGAGAAGTAAATGCACGAAATTTAGCTAAATGAATTAAAAAACAAGTTTTCTTACATAACAGACATGACATATACATCAAGGATCAAGCAGTTAAATTAGTGTGTGGTGACAAAATTCAAAATAGCTAGAGAACTGGCAAATGTGGGCTGCTGACGAAATTGATATAAAATATATAATAGCTCGAATAAGAAAGAGGATGGTATACATTGCACGAACATTGAAATTGGATTAAAATTATTGTTGTATTCAAACTTTACATCCGATGTAGAAAGATCACATCCTTCCAAGAAATGTATAATATCTGTCTTCAGTGTGTTTCTTCCAAAACCTGTCAGCCGACCATAGGCCGCACCTAGATGCATTGTAGTCAGAAAATATGCAAGTTAAAACAAGGCTATGGACAACAAAATAACAGAAAGAAAAGTTAAAGATAATTATGGACTGGAAACGGCAATAAGATACCAAGTTACAATCAGGCTCAAGTGGCATTCATGCGCGTGCCATGCACACACAGACAAACAGATGTAAATAGGAATGCTTCGAGAGTCATTTTATTGTTATACGGTCGGCTAGTCGTGCTTATATGGCCATCGACGTCATATATTGTTGTTGTGGCTTTTGTCACTTCTGTCCCACACCCTCCCAATTTTCTTCTTTGCAGGAATCGCAGAAATGAGGGCAAACATGATGGATAGTTTCTCAAGATAATAAGATCACAAATATACGGAGGCGTGGGATATCTCCTTAAAATCATGTGCCAAATTAAATTACCTTCTTCCAGACTTGCTGCCAGCATTTTTTAGAATCTCCTAAAACTTAAAGCAAAATAGGATATTTCTCCCTTTATTAGGGATTGTAGCTGCATCTCTGACTGTAGTAGTTAGCCTGTGTACATAAAATACCAAACAAGCCTGGTTTTCCATTATTATTTGTCCTTTCTTTAAGAACGCTTTCAGTATATATGACAGAACTTGCTTTAATGGAAGTACACTCTAACTTGCAATTTATTTCAAACCATCTATTAACCTAAAGAAAATTACCCACGTTAATGTACTCATGACATAGAACTTAGTTCTCTAAAATAATACTAAATTTCGATGATGCTGGGAAAGAAGAGATTAAGTAGCTTGAGGATACCAGACATCAATATTTACCTTCAAAGATGTGGCAACTAAGTTGAAATTTGAAACATTCTTACTATTAAAATTACTAGTAAATGATTAAAATTTACACCAATCTTGATCTAAATCTAAGTTCTACTGAATGTTTTACAGCAAAATTCTAGATGGAACTAGTCAAATTAGCCCACATCAGGTTTGCCACAATTAAAAAATTCCAACTTACAATATTTGATGTAAAGTTATAGAGAACAAAAAAAAGATGTTTAAATATTTTTATTGCTCTTAAGAAAGCATTATGATTAAATACCATGAGAAATATTTTGTACACATAAGGAAGAGATGTGTGTACAATGATATATTGAAGTTATTAAGAAAACATATGATGGAGCACTAACTATATTAAAAGTACTTCAATAGTGATCATAAAATTTCTACTTATATTATCCCAACATCAAATTATCATAAAATCCATATCTTTTCTTATCAGTTATAGAGATGCTTGCACAAACTACAGTGTTCTCGTGTATGCTTTTCAAATATTATATAGTTATAATCAGTAAGAGAATTGCTGAAATAAGTAGAAAGTACAAACGTGAAATTTAAAAAAGCATTACATATGATCAATTTGCTAAGATGTTCATTAAATTTTCCTTACAGGATTGAGATGAAGGATCGAATTACAACTCTCAATTTTAGGGCAAAGCACGGATGCAACCAAGGTCATGTGCAGGCCTTGGATCGTGCGAGCTAGGACTTCTCAATTTGAATAAAACCTCACTCATGTGCCCTCCTTTCCTCTAGACTTAAGCATGATAACCATGAGCCTAAATTTGCATAGGATCACTTAATTATAAGAGAGGACAGTTGAGTGAAGGCGAAATACATTCTCAATTTCCATGTGGTTGCAACATACCATCTCGATCATGTATTTTTTTCTCATATGCATTTAGAACAAGAAATCTCTAATTTGTTTACCAATTGAGGGTGAGAGATGTAGGATTTAAATATAGATGACAAGCAGCAACTGGGTTTTGGCTAGCAATATCTCGGAGGTCAATATCGTTGTGTAAGTTAAACCAGTTGGGAGGGTTTCTTGAGCTTCTTCTTTATTAAGAGTTAGATTACTCGGGCTTTGCAAAGGGCTAGTGAGTGTCCTTGTATTGTGCACCATTGTTGGCTTCTTGTTTAATAAATTGGATCCTCTCACCTATCTCTTGGGTGTAAGTTTTATTTAAGCTAACAACAAAAATTTTGGTATTTGTTTGTTTGTTTGATTTATTTGTTTATTTGTTGCTCATGTATTTTCACTTCAAGAGTTGCTTTCACATCAAATTAAATGTTTCATTCCTACAAACTAGCATCAGAGCCTAATGTGAAGTTCAAATGACATGAAGTTTAAGATAAAAAAAGTTGATGGATTAAAGATTTTTTGGCTTTAGACAGTTAAGGCGTGTGATTTTATCCAATATTTTATGAAGACACTCATGAGGTGTTCAAATATTCCAACAATGATAAGAGAATAAAACAAGATAATATAACTAAAAATTTGTTTTGAAGATTTAGTTATGTTTAACAAATGAAGTCGTGATAGAGGTATCGAAAAAGAACTGTAAAGGATAGCTAGAGGTTTATACATGACCAAAAGACTATCCAACAAACTCTATCAAAAACATACATTATTAGATTGCAGGAAGGAAAGTGTGTCTATTAAATTACGTCTAAGCAATTTAAACTTTAAAGAATATTAATATGATTGTTGATGATAAGTACCAATGTCTATTAAATAGTAGGGATTTATTTCTATTATAATGAGATATGATACATTAAGAGAGATTGATTTTCCTTAAAAAGGAAGGAGTATTAAACATATGGCAAGCATAAGTGATGCAGAGCATTGTAAGCGAGAGGAACAATTTACCTTTATGACATATATTTTGTTTTATTTCACTATTCTTGTTCTTAGCTTTATTCCTTTTCAATTAACACGCAATATAACAAAATTCTATATTACATTGAAAACTTTAGTATTAGAGGAGAGTAATAATTAGTACAATTTTGGCTAGCTATGCATGATAAAAGAATGGGAGATCAGAAAATTTATAATAAAGTTTCAGTTATATGTGTTTCTTTTTTTTCCTTGTTGTCGTTTGTATTACTCATAGCTACCACGCTAAATTGGAATCAAGGCTTGGCAATTGGGAACAACAGCAGAAGTGAACAATTGGGTGGCTATCGATAAAGATTGGAGATTGAATGCCCTTTTGGAGGCGCTAGCAAGCATTGCGTGACAATTGGATGAACTCACTTTTGAATTCTTTCATTTTTTTTTATGTCGAAATGCAGAGGGAGAAGCAAGCTCTCATGGCGAGAGGTGTCAAACCAATTTTTCGAAGGATGACTCCAACAAAACAACAGCACCACATAGAAGCGTTCTAAGTGATCGAGAGACATAAGAAGATATCCAGTAACCATTTTGGAAGTCACAAATTCTTAAGGAGAAGATGATCTTAGTCAACACTTCTATGCCTCGAATTCAAAAGAGGAGAATTGCTTTCATAATAATCAGCTTGTTCGGTGACATGATTAGCACAATTGAAATCAAGGCGAATTGCATGTTAAATTGGACATCCCAATCTTCAACGGTTGATTGCATATCAAAGGCTATCTTGATTGGAAACAGGCTATTTGGTTGACATGAAGCTACCTGCAAAGAGTTTATGTATTTTGTGTTACAAGGTGCAACTTTGGAATAATTACTTTTGTTTTATCTTTATCTAAGCTAGCATATCATGTTTTGGGGAAGTAAAAAATATTTAACTTCTTGGTTGCAAGAAATGTTCTCGAATAAAATCAAGCACAAGTTAATGGTAGGTCTTTAGGTGATAATCAGGCAGAGAAGAACCTATATTGCACAATATAGCCCAATATAAGGTTGAATCACTGCAACAATCAGATAGAGAATACAATCACTTTGGAGGTACAAAAATTTAGGAAAAGGTACATTTGCTATTGTTGAATTCAACTTGAGGTACAAAATTAAGCTTTGTGAGATTACCTAGTGGCTAGTGCTCAGCCCTTTGAGACTTTGAGATTTATAAATGATCAGCTTGGAGAAGTGGAACTGTAGAGAAGATCCAAGTTATTTCCACACCATTGATCAAGGAGAGAGAATTGCCAAATTTGGCTTAATGTGTCATGCTTAGTGCATTATACATTACATAGGATTTGAAGAAGCATTGCAAAGAATCTATTTCCAAGACACTCGTGATATATTCCTTACGAGAATCATGGGATCGAACAATTAGCGTGCAAGATAAAGGATCAAATCACATCTCTCAATTTCATGGAAAGCAAGGACATGACCTAGGTTCATGTTCATATCTTGAATTGAATGCATCAAAAACTTCTAATTTCCCATGAGACCTTGATTAATAAACCTTGTTTTCGTTGGAGACATGCAAAATGATTATTTGTCTCAATTTGCGTGCCCTAGGATCTCTCAAATATACGAGAGTCGAGCAACTAAGTGAAAGGTAGATTCTTCAATTGGCACGCAAGTGCAACAAACCCTCTTTCTTAGAATTGTCTTCTTAACTGAATGTGAAGAAAAATCTATCTATTTATACCCACCTATTGAGGATGATGGCTTGAGGATCTAAATATACTCGAGCAATAGTAACAACAACAAGAACTTTAGTCAACATCATCTTGGAGACTATTATCATGGTTTTAAGTAAACTCATTGTGAGGGTTTTTTAAGACTCTTCTTTGTTGAGAGTTAGGTGTATTCAAACTTTAGTAAGGGTTGATGATTAAACTTAATATATTATATATATTACTTCTTATTTAGTGGATCAAATCCTCACTCTCCTCCCTCATTCATGTAGACATTGTTTGAGTTGAACCAATAAATCTTGGTGTTTTGTATGCATAATCAATTTTATATTTCTGTCTAGCTCATTGTATTTCGCTCTTGGATGCGCTTCAACATCAAATTTGATATTTATTCCAACAATTTAAATGATGATATGTATTATTGATCCTACACTTCAAGATCACATCTAAGAAATTAAAAAAAAAACAATGGTCATTCTCCTCTTATGAATTGTTTGCTTCAATTTTTCTAATTGGACTATTTATCACTCTTATGCTTATCTCAGCACAACTAATGTGTACAATTAGAATATTCAAAGTGTGGAAAGACATGGTCAATATCAAAATGTCCCAAATAAGAATGGAAAGAAGTTTGGGCGAGATATCCTGACCGAATTTTGGTCTGCATGATTTCAAACCCCGTTCATTTTCTTTGAGATGAGTACTATAGAAAAGTTGATTGAATCTCAAAGAAAATTTAAGGGTTTTAAAACTCAATCTACCCAAAATTTAGGTCAAGATATCCGGACCGAATTTGTCTTCAATACTAATATTGCATTGATACTTACATCATACAAAATAATAATAATGATTTCCGCAGTGCCTTCTCATAGCAGAAATGAATTTATCCAATCATTCCTTGGAGAAACGCAATTGGGGGTCGTAAGGCGTAACAAGGTTCGAAGAAAAACTAAACCCAGGCAGAGGCAGTGATGAATTTCATACCTTCGGAAGATTCGTAAAATGAGTCGGAGACTGGCTCTTGCTGCTCCCCAACGGAGGAGAAACTCCTTGAAGGCATCCAGCGGATTGGATCAAACAGTGAAACCCTATATTTGAGAGCATTCCTCGAAAGAAAACTGAGCTTCGACATTTCTAAGAAGCGGCGACGGCGTGCTGAGCTCGTCGCGTCTAATTGAGCGCCACTATCAAACTCGGCCCTTGGATTATCCCATCTGTTGATATATATTGGTCGACCTCGGAGTACGGAAGTGATGGATGCTTCAACCGGTCTAATTGGGGTTGATTTTTTTTTTTTACATATTTTTGAGTTAATTAAAGTCAAATTCATATATATCACACTCAAGCTTCGAATTGGGCATGAATCATTGAATCGAAAACTTTTAAAATTAATTATGAATCATCCAAACTCTAATTTCAACAAACTTATAGTTAAATTAAACATCTCACATAAACAAACTTGATGACACCAAATTCAATCTAATCCGAGCTTAAATGAGCTCAAATCAAACAACAAAAGAAGACTTGGAAGCTTCATAGCATTAATAGGATGATCAAATCCAAATGATATATGAAGATAACATGCTTATAGTCGAATTAAGCAACTCCACGAGAAAAATCCAACAAGCCCAAGATTGTATAATTCTAACATCTTTAAGGCACTTAAATGCTGAATAAAAGCTCAATGATTAGTGAAATCGAAATCAATATCAATAGTCTGATGGTGCACTCCCAACATGTCATTGCTCTTCTCCATATTTACTAGTCATATCACTCCCAAAAAATATAAATAGCTCATCATATTCACACGAGGGGGGAGGAGAAAGAAGAGAAGAGTTCTTATCACACTCCATAATCAATATTTGAAGAATTACATATGTCTTTTATTTTGACAATTTAATTAGAGTTTACCAATAAACAACAGAAAAAAAATTGCATTTTGTTTAGAACTGCCGGTAGAAAAATTATGCATGTTGTCTGGAGCCTTCTATCATAAGATCCTTATTCTTTCTTGAAAACATGTAAATCTCGTAATGAGCACATTACCCAACAAGTTAACTAAAATCTTATAATTGAAATCAACGCAAGATTAAAAAAAAAACAATATGTTATAAATCATATAAAGAAATATATGCATCAATCTCTATTGTGATTATCTATATAAATTTATCATTCTATAGTTTATCACATTTCAATCCATTACAACATCAGTCAGAGTATCAATAATGATAATGCAAGTAACAATAGTAGTGTTATGATTAATAACATTAAATAGTATTAACTATAGTCTTTCCAACATTCGTCGCCTACTAACTATGGTATCTCCGACCGTCGTCTGACTATGATATTTTCGACCTTTATTGCTCGTTACTATGGTCCCTCTGACCACCTTCACCTTACTATGATCCTTCTAACCTCCGCCTCCTGTTAACTACAATCCTTCTAACCATCATCATACGACTACGACCCTATAAACAAATAAGTAGGACAACACTCTTTTAAGAACAAATATCATGTCATTCTCCAACTATATAATGTGTTATATACAATGTGTATTTATTTTATTGAGTCAACATCCTCTTCCCAGGAAGGGCATTATTTGTAATCAGTCATCAATATTAGTGAAATCATTTCAACTAAGCTAGGCCATGTGGTTTCCCCCACCTTTTAAGGGGTTTTCATATAAAAATTCTGGTGACTCTTTTGAAAGTTCTACCTCTCTCTCATATATGTATGTGTGTTGGATATGTGCACAAAATTATGACACTAAATTATATATCTCTCTATTGTCACAAATATTCCAGGATGCAAACAGAATCCAAGACCTCCTAATTAATAGCTAAAGCTCTTAACCAATAGATCAAAATGAACCTGATAAATTAGGCACGATCATATAAGGTTTTTTAAGGCCTGACCTCACAAATTAGGTCAGGCTATGTAGGTGGAATTCCAAAATGAAACTACCATGTTTGAGCAATTTTATATTGTATTTCATTTATTAGGTTGGAGATATTCTTCGTTAGATATAATTTATATAAGAGTATTTTTAAATAATAATATTATCAAATATTATAATATTATCTTTGAAATATAAGACATTTTATTTAAAAATATATGTTATTTAAAATAAATAATGATGATTGCAACGTTTTTTTCTTATTTATTAGGCTATAAACTATCATGATATTGCATTTCAATATTTAGGATTGTTGCGTGCATGAACATTTGGCAGATTGAATTTTAAGAAATGGGAGAGATTGTGAGATTAACATCTTAGTTTTGTATGAAAATTTGGCAGAGATGTGCAAGAATTGTAGGAGACTACAATTTTTATGAGGAAAATCGAGGAAAGTGAAAAAAATGGAGTTTGTGCCAATTGAAATGATTTCATAAATTTTTATCATTGGTTACAAATATTGCCTTCCTCAGGAAAAGACATTAATTTAATGCAGTAAGCATACAATATATAGAACATACTACGAGGCTGAAGTTCGAAGAACTCTGTGATATAGAAGTTGCCTTTAAATGATAGTTTGCTTATTTAATTTGGTCTTACTACTTTGAGGAGAGACTAGTGACTAAAAAGTCCAGCATAAATCTCGATGTTAATGTCGAAAATTAGAGTTAGTGTCGATGGGGTGCATTAATATTTTAAGCAATGGAATACATTGACATTACTAGCAATGATAAGTGAAAATATCAACTTGTGTTAGAGTAGCCAAGAGAATGATTATAGTGTTGTAGGTAAGAAGATTATAGTCGAGTGGTAGTGGTTGGATGATTTTAATGATGGTCGAAGAATTATAATTAAGCAAAGGAGGTTGAATGACTATAATTGAGAGGTGGTTGTCGAAGGAATGTAGGCGAGAAATAATGGTCGAACGACTGTAGATGGGTGATAGCCTTTGATAGACTATAATCGAGCTACAATGATCCAAAAAGTATAGTTAGGCAACGAAGGATCATATGCTTGTGACAAATGTCTAAGGATCGTAGTCAAGTATCAGGAACAAATGTTATCAAAAGAACGAGATCAGAGGACCATTGTTGGGAAACTATGGTTAGAAATCTTAGTTGGGTGACATTGGTTAGAAGATCATAGTTGGGCAACTATGGCCGGAACATCGTAGTCAGATAATGTTAATCAAAAGAATACAATCATAAGATGGAGGTCATAGAATTATAGTTGGACGATGATGTTCAAAGGACCATAATTAAGTAATGGTGGTCAAACCATAGTCGGGTGAGAATTGTAGCCAGACGACTATGATTTGTGGATTGTAGTAGATTGACGACGGTGCAACAATCAAACATTACTACAAGCATTTTTTTTCATTGCACCATCTGTCCATCTTCCCTTTCCATCATGTTGAGCAATAATTTATATAGTTTTATTTATTTTTAACCACCATCATCTTAGGATCTAATTGTAATTTGTAAGAGTCCATGTGTTATCATTTTTTTTCACCCCATAATCAAAAGAATGAGATTTATCATGATAGACTCGAGGCCTAATTGGAAGGCCAGTAACTTTTTATAAAATTGATGGTAAAGTTGTTCAGGTAAAATAATTTAACTATTTAAGTTCTAAAAATAAATTTGTAGTACAAAAATTATAAAAAAAAAAAGAAGTAAACAAATAGTAAGAAACAATAAAAAAAATATTAGTACTTGTGGAAAAAAAAATATTATGTACGGATACCGAACGCCATCCAGAAACCAACCAAAATGAACCACGTCACCCATGTGCTCAGTACTGTGGCTCGATACCACTGACATGACACATTCTGGTTAGTATCCGGACGACGTTTTGCATCGTCTCTGTACAGAATAATTTCTCCAACTTAAAATGACTGAAGGAATAATAAAATCATTATGCTCTTCAATGAAAAATATCATTTAGTAAAAGAAAATTGTAATATATGACTAATCAAACATGACCAAATTTGAGTAGATATATAATAACCCAAAATTTCCCTATATTTGGGGAAAAGCTTCAAACATCAGCACCATAGAACACAAGAACACATCTGCATTTAATCATATAAATCATAGTGCATGTAACTTCAAATATTTCAAGCTTTAAATACAACTGTAGCAAACCAAACACACCAAGGCTATGAAATGGAGGCCATTCAAGTAGTCAGAGACTCCTATAGATTTTGAAATTAAAGAGCACACAAGAAAGTCAAGTAGTTAAGATAAAGATCATATTGGAATTTTCACTTCCACTTCTTAAACTTGCCACCGCCGAACATTCCATGCTTGCCATGCTTCCCATGCTTGAATTTTCCATGATGTTTGAACTTGCCACCATGATGCTTGAACTTCCCACCATGATGACCATATGCACTATATCCCCCATGACCCCCATGATGGGCATATGGATCATGGCCATATGGATTGTGGCCCCCATGATGAGAAGAACCATGTGTCAAGTGATGAACTCCATAGGCGGCGGCCGCCGCAGCAGCACCCCCAGCTAGCAGTGATCCTCCATGAGATCCATGCCCTGAAAAAAAATTGAAATATACAATCAAAATGATTCATAATGTTTGCTGTATTGATTACAACTTATTTGGCTGTGGGTGGGAAACATTACACAGTAACTTAGTTGCATTATCTTTGCTAGACTAGGAGAAAATGTCTATAGTAATCAATCTCTAATTTATAGTTGGCTCCAAATAGTAGAAAGAGTAAGAGAGAGGGCAATCATAGAGCTCCTTCGCCAAACTTTTTAGCAGGTCAGCATCTAACTCTGATGCACGATGGAAGCAAGGAAATAGTACCTAACTTTGCTAATGAAGCATTGAAAGGCTTGTTTTTTAATTTCTGGACACATTAATAAGTCATCATATATTATGAATTTTAATTTCAAATATAAAGATAATTATCCATCTGTCATTAATTCAGTAAGGGCATCTCCAGTCGAACACCAAACATGCGTATGGCGTCGTTCGATCGGTCCAGCCGAACACTAAATTTTCCGTTATTTGCTTGCGAGTGAACAGTGCGACGCCATATTATGACCCGCTATATATTTTTTTTTAATTCGAAAAATAAAGTATGAGAAAGAATATACTATGAATATTCTCTTTTTAGTGTTAGAAAATGGAGTTTGGTTAGAAACAAGTTACTACATATTGGTGTATTACTGCATTTTAGAGAGAAAAATGAGTTCTTCGGTTGGAGATGCCCTAATTAATAGTGGATTAATTAAGAGTAATTAACTTAAGACATTGTAAGTCTAATGAATAAATCCCACTTAGGGTGAATGAGAATGAAAAATTCCCTGCTCGTATTCCTATCTTCTATATTTTTTAAGTGTTGAACAAATTGAAATGTTCAAAATAAGATCATATCCTCCTCATTGGTGCTATCAGTATCATTAAACTGAATAATCGGACTTTCTATCAAACAACTATTCATAATGATTATGGTTGAAAATGTTTTATGACACATTCACCGCCAGTACAATACAACATTATCTTAAGTGATGCAAGCATACCTTGGGAGTGAGGGGGATATCCTGCAGGTGGGTATCCTTGTGGGGGATACCCCCCCTGTGGGGGATATCCCTGTGGAGGGTATCCTTGTTGAGGATAACCACCAGGTGCTGGAGGGTAGCCCTGTGGTGGATAGCCATGCGGTTGGTGACCTTGTGGAGGATAACCAGAGTGCTGGCCAGCAAGTCCATGTGCAATATTTGAAAGAAATCCCTTGTCATGTTGGTCTGAACCATCATGCTTGTGCTTGTCCTTCCCGCCTCCCATTATCCTAATTCAGCTTAAAAATGAATAAGAATACCTTATCATACATTATTAAAGCAGAAAGACGTCGAAAAAATCCAAAAGCACTTTTTGATAAAAAAAAAGACCTAACTTCAATTGACATATATGAGTGAAACAGATTGCAATTCACAAATTCAACTCACAGAGACAGCCTATCTGCAAATGAAGGGACAAGACTACGTAAATCAACCTCTTCCAATACCCTACATTATTGGGGGCCACTTTGCATTGTAATACATCTGGTTTATATTTGTTCCGAATAAATGGGAACTTACAATGTAAATAAAGACACAAATTTTCTACGGCAAGATTGATCACAAAAGTTGATTACAATCAAATTTATGTCATGACTCTATAATATCCGCTTAAGAAACTTGCTCTCAACTTCAATACATTTCAAAAATCTCAAATTTACCTCATTAGTGAATATTATTCTTCAATCTAATGTGATTTGTAGAGTAATATTTAAAATTTTGCTAACACAACCATTAATATATCTGGTTATTTTGGTAGTTGGCATCAAAGACTTCAGAACTAAAAGTTGACACAAGTGCATGAGTTAGTATTTAAATGACACGATTGGTGATAAATTTTAAAATTATTCATGAATTTATCTAATTACGTCAAGATCAAATGCTGCGAGTGGATCGGTCTCAAAGTTTGATTTTAAAGATTACAATTGATTAGTTCCTTTTATTTGGAAATACATCCATTAATTTATTAAACATACATCAATATAGATTTAGGGTCGATTTGCAACTGTTGCAACATTTGTATAAAGGTGATTGTGAAGCTATTATTTAGAAAGTAACCTTCTCACCATAACAAATTCTCACCACAAAAATTTCTGAAAAGCAACAACCAAACTGAAGTGTGGTTGTAGTTTAAAAAACAAAGTAGGGAAAAGTTCTCCCAAACAAACCCTTATTCAATCTCTAAAATAGCCACAACTACCTTGGCTGCTCAGCTCCTATTAGCCACAACTACCTTGGCTGCTCAGCTCCTATTAGCTACTGATCTCCTTGAAAACGGACCACTAGTTTTGTAATGTAAAGAATGGAATGTCATCGTGCAAACATTAGCCACTTTTGTAAGGCCTTACCCTAAAAGAGCAAATTGCTAAATCATATCATAATTCCAAACATGTCCATAGGTCATTCAAGTTCAATAAATGATAACAATGAAAAAAAATCATTATCTTACAACTTTAATTATTTTTCTTTAAATGCTATATTTTGCTACCTTCTAAAAGAGAACAAATAAAAAGTGATCTATGAGAACTATGTATGTCAGCATTATCACTTTTTAGTCATGACCTATTGAATCATGAGTTGGTTCTATTTAAAATATCACCATTTGAACATACATGGAAACTCATGGCATTGATGAAACTTTTTGCCTCAATAACTTAGATTCATGCTACTGTGTAAACAATTTTAACACAATATGGTTCGAAAGGATCATAATAAAATTGAAAAATATCATACAATGATAATTAAAATTTGTCTCTCTTCAATCATTCCTCCGATCCCCTTAAAATAAAACATTCAATAGAAAGTTGTTCAACAATCAATAATGTCATAATTTCTATAATAGAAGTGCTATGGGTGATTATAGGTCATCAACCTATGGAGGCATCAAAACATGGCACTCAATTGTTCACTAGTGCCACATATGTATGTGGTTGAAGGTTTATAACACATGAAAGAGCATTCACCATTAATCTCTGAAGAGAGCACATTAAAAATTGTTCTTTCGAGATACCCCCTTCACCTCACATGTATCTTGATAAGCTAATTTAATTGGACTAATGAGTAGCATGGTTTAATATTATTTAAATGCTAATGTTATCAAGAGGACAATATTATGCATTAGATAATGTATGCATAGTTTAATGATAAGGGTTGGTTGGCTACAAGTAGGATTTAAAAAATACTACAAATCTAAATTTAGCAAATTTTGAGGGGTTTATGATAGGAAATACTTGAGTTCGCAAGTAACCTAACCAAAATCGGCGAACATTCAACCGCAAAACTGCTGTCCACAGCAGGAAAACAGCAAAAATCTGCTGTTTACAGCAGAAAAACAGCAAAACCACAAAGAAATCTAAGAGAAAACTCAATGAAAAGCTTGTATTCCACTAGATGATGAATAAAACAGCAAAGATACACTTGATCCTCAATTCGAGAGGAGGATCGATCTCTCCCAAATCTCTAGACGCCGCTAGAGCCCAAAGAAACCTAAATCTACGAGATCTCAAATTTCAGCCAAATTCAAGATACTCAAACCCTAGCAAAATCAACTATTTAATGCATACAAATCAAAAGGAAATCCCAAAACAGTCCCTACATTCAAATTTCCCTCTCAAAACCCTAAAAAATGCTTCCTAAAAAGCTCTATTTGAGCGGACGAGCCGCCCGATCTCCGCAGGAGGCGGAGATCTCGCTGTTTTTGCGAACTGCCGGTCCCGCGTGGACCGGCTGGACCTGTCCAGTGGACCGGTCTAACAATACTCCCCTCCCAAAAATCCACCTTGTCCTCAAGGTGGAGATATGCCCGTGTTCCGGTGGAGGTGGCCATCCTTGAGGTGACTGTAAATCCTTACTGTATTGCTAAACCAAGGGCCGCACGGAAAGAAAAACATCCTCTCCCTCTTCCAATCTGATCGCATCCAGTCTGTGTAGTCCCACCATATAGTCTTCCCTCACCTCTTGTATGTCCCTAACCATGGTCTTAAGTGATGTGATGGCTTTGGATAGCCCTGCATCTCCCCTTATGACCGCCCTTCTCCCATCCACCATTAATTCCATCGTGAGTGCTCCCCAATTGTCCTTGATTTCCCCCAAGGTTTGCAACCACTTTATCCCCAAGATGACATCAGTGCTTCCTAACTCAAGTGGGAGAAAGTCCTCCTTTACTTGAATCTCCTGGATGGTCAACACCACATCCTTACAGATTCCCTGGCCTTTCTCCACCTTCCCTGTACCCATCATCACCCCATAACAACCGGTGTCCACCAATTTCACTCCTAGTCGGTTGACGACCTGAGTGGAAATGAAATTGTGGATAGCCCCACTATCAATTAGTACAACCACCTCACAGTAAGCTATCTCTCCTTTCACTTTCATAGTGTGACACGGAGTGAATCCCACTACTGAGTTCAAAGAGACTTCTGTCACATCCAGGTGCAACTTCTCCTCCTCTCCAGATCTGCTCCCACCTCCCTCCTCGTCTTCCTCGTCTTCACAGACAAGGAGAACCTGAAAAGTTCGATCCTTGCACCTATGCCCTGGCATGTATTTCTGATCACATCTGAAGCACAACCCCTTTGTCCTCTTATCCTGCATCTCCTTCTCTGTCAGCCTCTTGAAATTTTCCCCACTACCTCCTCCTACTGGCTTCTCCCAGGTGGTCACATTACTGTTGCCTGCTGCAGACCCCTTGGGTGCTAGAAGAGTGGTCGCCGTCTTGTAAGAGCCTCCTGAGCAGTTACCTCGAGCCCCTTCTTTCTGCTTTCTTCTGATCTTCTACCAACTGCGCCAGCTCCATAGCCTTTCCCAGGTTCCTCGGCTCCAGTACCCTGACTGCTGTTCGGATCTCTAGTTTCAGCCCCTTCATGAAGTTCCCTTCTAAGGTTGACTCTGAAATATGATCCAATCTGCTAGCCAAGTACTCAAATTTGTCCCGGTAATCGGCCACAGTCCCCTCCTGCGTCAGAGCAAAGAATTGTTCATAGAAGTCTCCTCCCCCATCGGCTCGGAAACGCTCTAATAAACAATCCTTAAACTCTCTCCAGCTCCGGATAGGCTCCCTCCTGTCTCGCCACTGATACCATGCCAGCGCCTTCCCTTCCAGACACAATCCTGCCGCCGTCAGCTTCTCATCGTCTGTCAACCCGTTGACAGCAAAGTAACGCTCCACCTTGTATATCCAGCCATGGCCATCTTCCCCCTCAAAGATGGGCATCTTCAACTTCCTCACCTTCGGATCCCTTCCGTTACCCCGGTACTCTCCATAACCTCCCATTCCTCGAAGATGAGGTGCTCCCCAAGTGTCCCGGTCCTCCCTCCGACGTTGGTATCCGAATCCGTCGTCATATTCCCCTCTTCCCCTTTCAAAATCAGCACCTCGACGCTGAAATTCAGCACCTCGACGCTGATATTCTTCTCTTCTATCGCCAAAATCTACACTTTCGTCGTATTCCCCTCTCCTTCCTTCAAATTCCGCACCTCGACGCTGAAATTCAGCACCTCGACGCTGATATTCTTATCTTCCGCCAAAATATGCACTTCCCTCATATTCCCCTCTCCTGCCTTCAAATTCCGCACCTCGACGCTGAAAATCAGCACCTCGACGATCATTTCCCATGCTCATCTCCTCTCTAGAAAGTAACGCTCCACCTTGTATATCCAGCCATAGCCATCTTCCCCCTCAAAGATGGGCATCTTCAACTTCCTCACCTTCGGATCCCTTCCGTTACCCCGGTACTCTCCATAACCTCCCATTCCTCGAAGATGAGGTGCTCCCCAAGTGTCCCGGTCCTCCCTCCGACGTTGGTATCCGAGTCCGTCGTCATAATTCCCCTCTTCCCCTTCAAAAATCAGCACCTCGACACTGAAATTCAGGCACCTCGACACTGATACTTCTTCATCTTCTATCGCAAATCTACACTTTCGCCGTTATTCCCCTCTCCTTCCTTTTCAAATTCTGCACATCGACGCTTGAAATTCAAGCACCTCGACACTGGAATTCCTCTCTTCTACCAGCCAAAATCAAACCCTCTTCGATCATTTCTCATTGCTCATCTCCTCTCTAGAAAAGTGGCTCTAGAGGTGGCATGTCGTCCTCTCCCTCCAGGATCTCTACATCCTGCATTCCTCCTCCCCCTTCGCCGGGTTCGGATTTCCTCATTACGCCGTGTGTCTCCGGTAGTCTCTCTTGCTTCCGACGTCGTCGTATTAGTCTTCATCTCCAATAATTCTTCATCATTTCTTCCATCACCGTGAACTTCTCATACCAACCTTTCATTATTGGCGGTGATTTCAAGGAATTTTCCTCCAAATCTGATTTTAATTGGCCAAATTCGCCTTCCAGGACTTCGATCTTCTTTCCGGCCATCTTTCTTTCTATGAGTCACACGAAATCTTCCTCCGAATGCCAAAAAACCCGCTGAAATTTTAGGATTTCAGCCGCCGATGGTCCCAAAAACGACGCTCTGATACCAATTTGATAGGAAATACTTGAGTTCGCAAGTAACCTAACCAAAATCGGCGAACATTCAACAGCAAAACTGCTGTCCACAGCAGGAAAACAGCAGAAATCTGCTGTTTACAGCAGAAAAACAGCAAAACCACAAGGAAATATGAGAGAAAACTCAAAGAAAAGCTTGTATTCCACTAGATGATGAATAAAACAGCAAAGATACAATTGATCCTCAATTCGAGAGGAGGGTTGATCTCTCCCAAATCTCTAGACGCCGCTAGAGCCCAAAGAAACCTAAATCTACGAGATCTCAAATTTCAGCCAAATTCAAGATACTCAAACCCTAGCAAAATCAACTATTTAATGCATACAAATCAAAAGGAAATCCCAAAACAGTCCCTACATTCAAATTTCCCTCTCAAAACCCTAAAAAACGCTTCCTAAAAAGCTCTATTTGAGCGGACGGGCCGCCCGATCTCCGCAGGAGGCGGAGATCTCGCTGTTTTTGCGAACTGCCGGTCCCGCGTGGACCGGCTGGACCGGTCTAACAGTTTATCACAAGGAGAATGACTGAACATGTCACAAATGATCTCTTAAAAACAACTTCAATATCTAAAGGCTCCTACAACTTCCACCACGAAATTCATCCACCATAGTTCCTATTGCATTGAATCAACGCATTATGTAATTACGAGATAGGGAAATATTTGTAATCAATAACATATATGAGTAGAATCATTTCAACTCGGTCAGGCTCAACGATTTTTTTCCCTTTCTCGATTTTTCACATTAATACTATATGTTTCTTGTAGCCTTTTTTTATATGTGCATGTGTTGGATCTTCATGTAAAATTAAGACATTAAAACATTTTTCTCTATCGCCACAAATTTTTTAACACACAACAGATACATGTTTTAAGGATTCTAAATTTAAATGAAAAAGAAGAATAAACAATAATAAGCCGTATAAGTTCCGTGTAAGCTTCTTACATCCAATTTCCTTGGTACTTTCTAAACATAAGAGTTAGCCTACCAAATAAAGAAAATGATATTTAAAAAGGAAATAGAACTTGTTTAGCTCCAAAAAAATATTTCTCAAGTTTCAGTTTAAACTTTGGCTAAATCTTGCAACTAATCAATGACTGAATATTCGAATAGATATGTCATTTGATCTAGAAGCCAACAAGCCAAGACTAAATTTTCATTTAAACCTGTATGGTTTCAGAAATAATGAAACCAAACAATTGGCATATGCATATCATTACATGGCAGATATTAACAAATCAAACTCCTAAAACCTTAAACAATAAGGATCTTCATACTTCAATCAAAGCCACAATTATCCATATAATAAGATATTCCCCCCTCTTAAATTCCCAATGAATTTACAATTTTTAACTAAGCGCCAATGCATCAATCATACTAATCAAACAAATAAGTCGCCAGCCAGCTTAGTTCTTAGATATCTTCAAAGTTATTTGTCAAGATCCAGATATCAAATTCCACCTACACAATATATTTGTTCCTCAGCACAGCTTCCCTAAAAACCCCAAAAACTGCTTGATCAATAAGACTAATGTGACGCCAACATAACAATCAAAGTCATTCCCCCGTTTATGAATCAGAAAGGCGGAAAGATAAATAATCCACAACCTTATCAAGTTTCCTCACAAGGTCAACAGCATCAAACGATGTAATCATATCCACCTTCATAAAAACCAAAACATTCCCCAAAACATCCTAAACATCTGATGCCCGATCAGATCTTCAAATCTCTCTTAGGACTAACATTATATTCCATTTTAGAAACATAACCATCAATCTCTTGACTCAAATCAGCGAAGGATACCTAAAATTCATCATTTCATGAATCGAAAAACAATATCGTATATTTCAATACAATCAAAACTTCTACTCGGATAATTACGCGCACATTAATTCACGAGTAATAAAAAACAGAAGAACAAGAAGAAGAAGAAACTAACCTTTTCGATGAGAAGATCGATGTGAAAGGAACAAAATAGAAGAAGCCCAGAATATAGATTTTTTTTTTTTGGGTAAATCCAGAATATAGAGGGATAGGCATTTTATAGGACTGTAGGAAAGAAATAACGTTTTAGAAGGACAATAGAATAATAAACCCACCAATGAAAAGGTTTCAGCCGATCAAAAAAGAGGTGGTTTTATTTGTTGGTCAAACTTTTGGGCTCTTTCGAAAATAAATTTCCTCATATTTTTCATCTTATCGCTTACGAAACGCGTAATCGACGCGGTCGGAGTTTGTCTGGAGTGGAAAGGTCGACACAATCGCTTACTGCGTAAGCAAAACGCTCGACACGTGTCAATTTGGGGGAGAAATAAATTATAAATTTTCTTTGTTTTTTAATTTTTATTTTTTATAAATAATTTTTCTTTGATTTTATATCTATTTGATTTATTTTAAAATAAGTATTTTAAAATTTTTTTATAAAGTTGTAAATTGAACATTGAGATTTCATCATTTGATATATTTATTTATTATTTTTATTTTTGAGCAAAATAAAAATAAGTTGAAACTCAATGAATATATGCAATATTTTAAAAATAGGGTTAGATTGTCCGAGTTGATCGGTTTGATCGTGAACCATAAAGTTGTCGGCTCGATTGTCTTCAAAAGTTAGATTTGTCTTGAATTAGCTCCAATCAATTTGAATCATCAGTTTAAACAAGAAACTATTGATCTGGTGACTCTAGGGGTGTCAAAAGTTGACTCGACCTGAAACCCGATCTGAACCAAACCAAAACAATTCGGGTTCGGATCAACCCGTTTGTGAAATGGGTCGGGTTCAGGTTCGGATTTCTAACACATTTAAAAAACGGGTCAGGTTCGGGTTGACCCGACAAACCGAAGTCAACCCAGATTGACTTATTTGTCATCCCGCACGTCAGGAGTCGCGACAGAGCCTCAACTGCAACATGCCAGTGTCGGGTCATGTCCGCGTCAGGGCCTCAGGGGTTGCGTCCGCGTCGGGTCACTTCCGCCGGTCTGCGTCAGGCGTAGGCATGTCGCCGCCCCATCGCTGTGGGTCCTGCCCGCACAACATCACTCGCGTCCGGCCATCTACGTCTTGCCTGAGCGGCCGAGCTACTGTTGTTGTCATCCGCATCTCGCCCGAGCGGTCGAGCTACCACTACCGATGCCTCCGCTCCACCACACTCGACCTTCACTCCACCAAAATCGGCGGACCCGCTCCGCCAGACTCGTCGGACTCGCTTCGCTTGAACCACTCCGCAGCTGTTCGCTAATCGGGTCTTGTCAACTCGATAACTTACACGGTTCAGGTCCGAGTTGACAAACCTGGCCCTTTTGCAAAACCGGGTCAAATTAGGATCAACCCGTTTACGCCCGGATCAAGTCGGGTTTAACCCGAAACCGACCCACTGACTTGAATTGACACCCCTAAGTGACTCTAGTCTCAATTTTGTATATAGAACCAACTAATTCAAATTGTAGTCTTATATACACCATAGATTTAAGAACCAATGGTTGAAATTATTACCCTAAAAATTAACGATATAAATTTATTTAATTTATATAACATAAATTAAACAACGAATGATGGCATTCTCTTCTCAAATCTAGTTCTAACCCTAGCAATCTCTCTCTTTCAACAGTTGGTCTCTAATCACCCTTCTCCCTCCACTTCATTGGACACCATAAGGCATGACGATTCCCCTCCTTTGCTTGTCATGATGTAAGTTTTTCACAAAAAAACTACGCCAAAGCTTATTTCTCTTAATCTTTGATCATTAAGGATTTACAAATATTTTTATGATGTGTATTAGCAACGCAATATTTTGTCAAGGGTTTTTTTGATAAAATTATAGAACCCTACCTTATAATTTGAGATCGCCCTAATGGTAGCTTGATTAATTATTGGTATTAGTGGATTAACTACAATAGTTTGTATTGTTAAATAAACTATTTAGACTTATGCTTCGTTTGGGACGACTTTCATCATGTTTCTTAACGCAATTTTTAGTACAAAAATTTTAGTATTAGAAAACCGCTTTAAGAAGCAGCAAGAAAACTGTCCCAAATGAATTTTGCACGGTTTTTTATTACTTTTTAAAGCAGTTTTTTTGTATTAAAATATTAATTTTAGAATTAAAAAATTATTTTAAGAAGCAGGATGAAAGCTGTCTCAAACGAAGCCTTAGTTTACTAATCATAAGTCATTCACTTGCTTATTTACACTCCTTTTATCATAAGTTAGACTTTAGTGATATTAATTGATTCAATTATTAATTATAAATCTCTCACTTGCTTATAGTGTAATGTGTTTGATTATAATAAACCATAATGTGTCAAATACATATACCATTTTAATATTAGCTTTGTGCATTATAAATAGTCTATCTCCTATATTTCTACACATATTTGTAAAATAACGATGTATGCCTAGATTGTGTTTAATTGTTAATACTATATAATTTTTTTTAGTGTAATATTTGGGTATTTTCTATAGTTTTTGTAAGCATAATTTTGTTACTCAAATATTGAAGGTCTTTAATTTTAAAATTATTAAATTTATTTATCATGCATGTTATATATTTCCTTATATGTTTATATTTTTATCATAAAATTTCACGTGATTGCACTATTAGTTTATAATTTATATAATATTTAAATAAATTTAATATTTATTATGATATTCGATTCAACCTCAATTGAGTCATTGGATCGTTAACCTCGACTTCTTCAGATATATATATATATATGGCATCCCACTAACTTTAAAATATATAATGTTACCAAAAAAATGTTTTTATTTTTTGTTTTTAAATTATAGCAATTCAAATAAAATTTTAATTTAAAATTCATTAAATATATCATACAAAATAAGATCTTACCCTTCATAATGTTTATTAATAAATTTTGATGAAAGAATGCAAAACTAAATAATTGTTGATCAAGCATTATATACTTGTTGAGCCATGAACAAATATGTTTAGAAAACTAAATAAATGATCATGTGAAATATCCACACTTAACATTTCTACCTTTTAAAGTTAGCTAAGGGCCTATTTTAAATTATTTGTATATTTTATTTTTATTATGTGCTAGAAAATTTAAAGTATTAGAGATAATTTTTACATCATAGATTTCCATGAAGATCCAACACATAAATAACATAAAAATATCATTGTATATGCTAAATTGTTTATACGAAAACCTAGGAAGAGAAAATCCCAAGGCTTGGGTATGATAAAATGATCCACTATATAGATGGTTATTAGAGTTTGATCTTCCTCTCAACTAGAGAATATGGGATTATAGTACTTAATACAAGTTTGTGCTTTTGTGAATGTGAGGAAAAATATTGGTGATGCAATAACTTTATCTTAGCTGCAACTGATTATTTTTTGAAATGGGCGGAAGCAGCTCCTTTCAAAGAAGTTACTGCTGGACATGTG